GATCTAATCGAATTACGATATAATTTAATTCAAATACAATCTAATTGAATTATAATTTAATTCATATTCATTCTAATTGAATTACAATGTAATTCAAGTACGGTCTAATCGAATTACAATGTAATTCAAATACGATCAAACTGGATTATAATTTAATTCAAATACAATGTAATTGAATTATTATGTAATTCAAATACGATCTAATTGAATTACAACATAATTCAAATACGATTTAATTTAGTTACAATGTAATTCAAATACAATATAACTGAATTATAATTTAATTCAAGTACAATCTCATTGAATTATAATGTGATTCAAATACAATCTAATTGAATTACAATGTTATTCAAATCAGTCCGTTCGTAACTGTATGGGTAAAAGTAAGATCGTGTATAATACGCCGGCGTTAACGCTACGAAAGCGTTGTCGAATCTTCGGGAGCAGACACACCTATTAAACGTCCGGTTCAGGAGTTCCTTAAGAGCGGTTACGAGATTTAAATAGAAAAAGAGGGGCGCTGATTGGCGCGGGTCCGGCTCCGGTTTCGATTCGGGTGCGGGCAGCATGTTACATTTTTAATCCCAAAACTCATCTCTATGCAAAGCATGTGCTCACACGTACGGGCGAAACGCGTACGTGTGTACCCGGCTAATACGTTCCGTTGATACCTACCGTTCGCGTTCGTGCGTGAAACGCAAAACTCGACGAGACGCGACGCACTGCGACGCGAGGGAACGCGAGGCACCGCTGAAATTTCCTCGGCCCAGCCAGCAGCCTCGAGGCTCGGCGAAAATAGCGCTGTTGAGCTTGCTTGACGGTAGACACTGTGTCACGCTGCCAGCTTTATTCTCGAGTAGAAACTGCGCTTCTACCCTGTCGCAGTGTTTTGATAGCGATGACAAGTGGGACTGAGTACGCCGATGCTAGACGCGCGATTCTACCATCCCTTTCGCCGTGCGATTCTACCGTCATCGCTGCGACGCGATGCGCCGCTTTGCTCCGCGAGAGTCGCCAAGAACTTGTCTAGGATCCGGCGTTCTTTGTGCGCTCGAGAAGCTGCGAAAAGCACAGAGCTGCTCCCCCGAGATTCGCGGGGCAACGACGTTCAGTTCTTGCTGGATATTCCTCGTGACGGAAAAGTACCGGCAAAAAGCGTCATTAAATTCTTCGATCGAGACCGCCGGGCTTTATCGGATCTCGCGCGCTGTACACGATCCGCTTGAATACTTTCACGAGCGCGCGCGATTTTATTTTCGTGTTCCTCTGGTCGAACCGCCGGAAACGAGGAGAAAGGACGCGGCAACCGGCGAGATGCAAGCGTGGATGGGCCCCGTAACGTAACGAATGAGCCGCGATCTCGATTGTCCACGAGTCGTATGCAGATCGCGTGTCCTCGGCAGCGATGATTGCTTGCTTAGTCGCAGCTCGAAGCAACGACGAAACGCGCAACGCGGCCGAACGGTCCAGAGCAATCTGTTAAATTACGCCCGGCAAAAACGATTCGGATTGCCTTTTAAGCTGCGAGACGGTCGTTACGGCACGATTCAGCCCGCGCTCGGAGGAAATGGCTCGGGTTGCGGCTGTTATGACGGCCGCGGGATCATCGATTAGATCCCGTTCTAATTAACGGCCTCGAGAAGTTGCCGGCCCGGTATCAGCCGAACCTGCCTTATGCCGTCCCGCACGCTTCTCGTTGGAACTTTGCCAATTCGCTTATCCGAGCCCCGAATAGATATCATCTCGAGATCCGTTCTATCGGTCGCAATCAACCACTTATCACCGGCGCCGCGGACAATTACGAATTCTCTCCTACACGCCCGGCGTGTGTTTCGTTTCGTCGCTCGATCGACGCGGCTCGCTAGAAAGAGACGAACGAGATCCGTTTACACGAGCCGCGACAATACTGTGACACATTATCGCGGTCGAGGTGTCGGCGTGTCAAAATCTACGGATAACGATGTATGACATGTCCAACAAAAACTAGAATTGTACGTGCCACTGGATAAATCATGATTTCGGCGGAATGTTCCAAGTTTAACACTAAACCAACCGACCTGTAATGACGACTAGCGTGCATTGACTCACAAGAGTGAAAAGATAGAATTCATTTGGATTTTGTAAAGTTTTAATTACGAGACTTGTTTCAATAATACAGGGTGTCCCAAAAATGTCTCGCAATCCGAAAGTGGTGGGTTCCTCAGGTCATTTGAAACAACTTCTTCCTTTGCAAAAATTTTCTCCGAGGCACCGTTAACGAGTTATTAACGAAAAACAGTGACCAATGAGAGGAGAGCTCAGCTGGCGCGAGGCGACCGAGCCAATGAGCGGAACTGGGTTTCTTGCGCTGGTTGGCTGGGCCGCCTCGCGTCAGCCGTACTCGATTCTTATTGGTCACTGTTTTTCGTTAATAACTCGTTAACGGTGCCTCGGAGAAAATTTTCGTCAAGGAAGAAGTTGCTTCAAATGATCTGACGAACCCGTCATTTCCGGATTGCGAGACATTTTTGGGACACCCTGTATAATTTGTTCAATCATTTCCCACGAAGAAGTCTCCAAAGTTCGTAGCATCGTAAAATAAAAAAATCGGTCATTTTGACCGTGGTAGGTTTAATGTTAACATAAATTTCCAGTGTGAAACAATTCTCTCTACGTTCTCTCTATTTTTTCCTTATTCTGCAACGTTTCGACTTTCACGTGCAAAAATTTCTCCCTACTGTGTGCCGCGAAGAATATTTGAGATCGTAAAAAGGGAATGAAGGGCCAACTGAATGTTAAGCTTTCTTCGTAATTAATTATTTTCTAATTGCATTTACGATGATTTTTTAAATACAGATACTAAAATTTCCAAATTTTTTTCTGATATTGATACACTGACCATATTGATAAAAATTATGCTATATAAATAATTATGTGTTTCTCTAAACGCATTGGGAGGGTGCTTAATGAAGGATCATTTTGTGTCCATGTAAGAAAAAGCGTTATAAATATTTATTTATGCAATACCTTTAAACAATACATTTAGATGCCCATTAATGCGAAGGCGGAATATAAAAAATGTATAAGAGAACATTGTGAGAACAAAATACGTGTTTAAATACGTGTTTAAATACGTGTTCAAAATTCTGTGGACATCTTTCGACCCTCCCTTAAGCATGCTAGGGTTAATCCAGCAGTTTCGTTGGTTCTACCGAAGATCGTTTCGCGATTCTTCCAAATACAGTAACCAAATGTCGTAGCACAGCGAGAATGATTTATTCTCGTACGTATCCTTCCGATGCAAGTTGTCGGCGACAGCACACCGACGAGCAATAGTTCCCGCCGTAAAAAAAGGTGAAGCCGGTGCAAGGCTGTCGAGAGAAATGTACTTCTCACCCTGGAAAAATGTGGACACGTGTTCCCCGGGAATATTTTCGCAAGTATACACACGTGGAACGGGAGCGGGATGTTTACGATAGCGCGGTTAGCGGATAGCGCGACAAACACACGAACAGCCGATGTGTGCGGAATCGTCGAGTGTCTAATCATTTTTGTGTTTTAGGGGGTCGATTAATCCCCGGAGTGCGGTCTGACCTAGCTTTTTCGCGCCGCGCCGCGCCGCGCCGGCTCGGCTGCCGGGGTTCCGTTGGGTCGGGTTGGGTTCGGTTCGGGTTCGGTTTGGTTGGGTTCGGTCGGGTTGGGTCGGGTTAGTCCGGGCAACCCTTAAAAATGGACACAGCGGATAGGGACACACGGTCACGCCCGCAGTTTACTCGTTTATGTTCGGAACTGTATCCGACCGTTATCTACCCTCTTAAAAATAGTCGAGCGCTGGTATCGACCCGTTTAAAAACAGCCCGCTCGACGATTAGGCCGGTCGATCAAACTCCCGTTGACCTCCGAGACCATTTTTCAATTATACTCGCCCTCCTGCTGCCCGAGTTTTACCTTCTCTGCCGTAGGCTTAGCGTAGCTACGGATTCGTACGAAGCATATTATTCGAGATTTCCGTGGTTCCTTTGTTCTCGCATGATGAAAACGGCATGAAAATTTGCAATGAAGCCATATCACGAGCAATTTCTTAACGATATGCAGCATACGCTACTAAATATTGCTATCTAGATTTACATCATTATTACCACGCGCGGTGAAAAATGTTTCACATAAAATTAATTGGTTTCGATGTTTGTTTCTCATGTTACTAGTTTTCTTGTAAGTGGACGTGTAGGGGACGTATGAAGCTCATTAACAATTTTTTCAATGTAATCGTATATTTGTAATTGCATCGGTCGATGCATCTTGATGTTCTTTATAAAAAAGTATGACCTATTTATATTAGAAAATCATTAGTTTAACAGATACGTTAATCTTAATGTTGTTATCGCAGGTGTCGTCGATGCAGAAAGTGTCATGTAATGTAAATAGTTATCACAAGACTGCGAATCTTTATGCAAGATAAAAATTTTCTTCATCAAAATTGCAGTAAAAACAAACGGCAAATAGGTGTTCCTTTCTTTCTCTAATCAATTCAGTAAGTTGAAAATAATTCCTAAACGTTAATGTTATGTTTTGTTACGCTGATGTTAAGTTTTCAGAACTTTTCTGATGTTTCAAATTTCACTCACTAATTTTTACAATAAATGCATAAAATCCGCAGTCTAGTTATCACGTTGAATTCGTAATATTGTCGAGAATGTTATGATTTCCTAACAACATTGTAATCAACATATCCGCTAAATTAATGATTTTCTAACATAAATAGGTAAACACTTTTTTTGTGAAGAATATTAAGATGCCACCCTGTGTATATTAAAACAGCAGATGCACGTTCGAAAGATGAGACAGAAGATGAAAGTATAACGAAAGAATATATTAATGAAGAGATATGTTCGTAGTGTGCTGCTCTCTGTTGACCTGATGTTTCGTGTAGATAAGACATAGATATCTCGGATTCGTATTTTGTAAATTCGAATGCACGATTTTTAAGTTTCTACAATGCTTTCGATCCCTCTGTGTCGCAGGTTGCCTGGGTGAGGCACAGAGACATACATCTGCTGACTGCCGGAGTGTTCACGTACACGAGCGATCAGCGATTCACGGCGGTCCACGTGCCGCACACGGAGGATTGGATCCTCAGGATAAGCTTCGCTCAGAAGAAGGACACCGGGACTTACGAGTGCCAACTGTCAAACACTCCGCCCATTAGCCGCCATTTTCATCTCACCGTTGTTGGTAAGTGCATCGTACGTCGAAATACGTAGAACAAAATTCCAAAGACTCTATTTCGCGAACAAATACGAAAGCAGCGGAACGATCGCTTAAATCCGCTGCTGCGAACGTCGATCTGAAAGAAGCGATCGTTCAGACTCGAAACGAGCTAGGCTATAAAGCTAATCGAGATAACGAATTTGAGATAACGAAAAGGAAGTCGCAATGGTCGTATCGGAAGTCGTATCGATTCAGAGTTGCATAAAAATTAACCTGATTAACGATTAACGAGTCTGACTAACGTGGAATCATGCGCATGATTGATCGTTACGATTACTAAGTAATCCAGTAATTATTTATTTATTTATTGTAGTACACAAAATTGGAAACATAGAATTTCATTACAGATTGACGATGGCGTAAAAACGAAAGAAAATGAATAATGATAAATGAATAGCATAAGTAATCGAAGCAAATGTAATCGTTGGTCACACGATTAACACAGTAATCATTAATCATGAAATGATCGCTACTTCTGATTACGATTAACTGAAAAATTTGGTATTATGGTAATCAATAATAATAATTCTGGATAGTATTTAGAAAATCTGCACGTATTTCATGTCTCAATGGAAGATTCTCTTTATTTGGGATCCTGATTGAGATCCAATAGCAAGTGATTAGAAATGATAAATTAATCATTCGTCTGCAAGATTACAGATTACTGATTACAGATTACCAAATGTAATCGTGATTACTGATCTATTCCTAGGAACGATTAATTGACAAATGATTTGTAATCAATTACAAAAGTACAGTAAATTCTTCGTAATTTACTTTCAGCTTGTAAACAAAAATTGACAATTTAGGAAGCGGAGATACGATCATTCGAGCCTTGCACCTACTCTTTATTAATTAGGTAGAATTTACTGTAATCACAAAGTAATCGATTGCTGCCCTGCCCCGGTATCGACCGCAGGGTTAACGAACTGTAAAACTCGAGACTGGCAAAAGAACTGACTGTTCCGGGATCATTAGGGACCGCGCGGCGCGAAGTGTCGAGTGCGAAATAATTGCGCGCGGACGTCGCGAGTTATCGTAATAGACTTTAGAAGCGAACAGATATCGCGGCAGCGAGGCACGTATCGGCGGTTGGATCGTACACGCGACGGCGGGAGCATGAAAGGGAACCGCGTTATTATTCCAACGACGTAATTATACGAACAAGCGAGGAACGCGTATCGAGCGACACAGAGAATACGTCGGGCTGCAAGGGTGCACGGTGCACTGTGGCACGGTGCACGTCGGAGACGGCGACCGAGGCATCTTCCGGAGACGTAAACACGACGACGACAATGAGCGGAAGCGACGTCGAACGTGTACACGCCGAGACTATCCGACAGAACGATCTATTAATTTCGAGGGAGCTCGGGCCCGGAAGATCGCGACGCAGTTACTCCGTCATAATCGCCGTACCGGCGGATTTTACGAGAAGGTGCTTTCGCTGCCTTTTTACGAGCACGGATTAGCTTCCATGACGCGTGTCGTCGTAACGCGAGCTCGATCAAGCGAAAAATGTGTCTCGTTAAGAGCAACGAGAAACGAGCGTGTTTGCTTTAATGATCGCGAAAATTAACGCGGTCATGTAACGCTTGAACCAGTTCGTCTACCGCCGGGGCCGGGCTGCTTGAACCGTTTCATGGGCTGTTCGGCACGAAGTAACAAGCACGAGGAACAAACTCTTTCGCGTTACCATGAACAAATTGATTTGTCGTCGGTCTCTACGAAGGAATTCTGCAGCAGAAGCTGTTGACGTTTGATCTTTGTCAGTCTCTGACGTCAATTTGACACTATCTTCGAGTTACGGAGTACGTTAACTCTGCTATTTTGAGGAAAATTAACGTTAATATTATTAATATTGCGATATTTAAGTGACTTTTATATTTCTTCCTGAATTATTTATTCAATGTATGCGTTATTGGTGGAAAATATCACGATAAAACTCGTTTAAAATCTGAATGTCTTATTGTCACTTTGTCTCTGACGTCAATTTGACACTATCTTCAAGTTACGGAGTACGTTACTCTGCTATTTTTAGGAAAATTAACGTTAATATTATTAATATTATAATATTTAAGTGACTTTTATATTTTTTCCTGAATTATTTATTCGATATATGTGTTACTGATGGAAAATATCGCGATAACACTCGTTTAAAATCAGGATGAATGTCTTATTGTCACTTTTATTAACTAATATAAAATTAACATGTAATGCTTTTAGCGGTCCATAAATCTAGCGTTCACATGAAGGATATTTATCTGTTATTGTTAATAAGATGTTTAT